CCCTTTCCTCTTGAACACCAAAGGAAACCCCAACTGTGCTATGTATCATAGAGCAATAATAATAGTGAGATGATTCAAGCAAATAAAACTGACGAAAATGTGATGGATATCTATTTACAAGAACAACATGACTGACCATAAGCGTTTAAAAACTATCAACTCTACAAAACCCCTAGCCTGTTTTTTAATCTCCACCAATTCCTCGGATGAGCTGGCGCAGCCATTCCTACCCCGTTTGTAAAAGCGAGCAAAGTAGCCCACTTGCCGCCTCTTTTCCATTATCCTAATGAAATCATCAAATCAAAATAAATGAAGTTTTGTCAGATTCCTCCGTCCACTCTTTCCAGCAAAACCCCCCTTTCAGATTCCACATTTATGCACAGGAATTAGTCGGAATAGCTGTCTTCCTTAGGGTAGTAATCTCTTCACCTCATGCTGGTCAGGATTTTTAGTTTGATTGTAAACTGCTTCATATGCGTGCATACATACGCTAGAAAACCCCACCATTGCCTGGAAAACATGGGGAAAACTCATCTGCAAGTTATTTATTGTCATTGACCTGGTCACACTGACCAAGTTTTCATGCTTTTGTTTCTCATCTCGAGCTTTTGCTCTCAAGTTCTCCACCTTATTTTGCTTCTCCTGAACTGGGTCTCTCCCTCTCGTGGATGCCGAACATTCTCGCATGGAATGTGAGACATATTTGCTTTCTAGTGATCTTAGCTGGGTAGCTCTCTTTTCAAGCTCTTTCGAGGCAGAATCTGCCTTCTTCTTTTGCTTATGTTCCTCAGCTTGTTGAACAACAATGGCCTGAACTACTGTTAAGAAGCTCTTGATTCCTTCAGAAGCCACTCTGTCTGGAATCCTATCAACTGCGAGGTTCCATTCTTCACAAAGTGAGTAAATTCTAGAATCCTGACCTGTTCTTAATAATGGGGTTCCACTAATCTGTAAAAGGCAAAGCCGAAGCCAGGCTGTAAGAGATTGGACATAATCCCGTTGAGCTTTCACTAGATTGCAAAAAGAAGCATGCCATTGCTGGACTTCAAGCTCAAGCTGGAGAGTTGATTGGCGGTGGATCTCGGATGTGGGCTCGGCTGATGGTATGATGTTTAGATATTTTAGCTGTTCAACAATGTGTGTTTGAACCTGATGAGACTCGTACATACTTCTCCACATGCACATCAATCTGTAGAAACCAGTGCAAATCTTAGTATCTAGAATAGAGTACTTCCATGTCCATGAAGATATCCAACATATGCTTAGTATTTCATTTCGGCCTTTTGAAATACCAGAAGGTAGAAAGACAGTACATTGAATTGTGAAAGTTACCAAAAGGTGAAATGGAACATAATGGCTTTTTAAATCCTAATCCAATTTGTATTGTTCTATGATTCTTTCCTGTGCTCAGGGGGATGATGCAAGCATGGTAAGAGAACTGAGAAGATAACAGACGGTCGGGCTAACACAATAGGTATGGACTTTACAGCTTAAATATTAAGCATCAGAATGCAGCCAAATGACTATTGATTTCTTATTTCTGTTAAAGCACAAGTATGAAAGAGACTAACCCTTTGACAAGCTCAAGGAGTTGTGGATAGAGCTCAGTTTCTCTTAGCTTGACGATTTCAGCTGATGTGGTTTCAATGGCCTGGGAAGCAACCATCATCTGTGACTCCAGCTTCTCAACCTCTTTCTTAGTCTTCTCAGTCTTTACATAGTCAGCCCTCTTCAGCTCTAGCTTCCTCAATTGTTCCAACTTCTTCTCATGCTCTGTCCTTATGGCCTCAGCATTCTAAAAAAGCCATTCAACACAATTTCACAAACTTTAGGACACAAAATTCCACAATTCGGTTCTTCAATGCCTTCAAATGCATTGAGAAATGCTAAAGTTTCATCTTTCTTTGGTTATGTTGGACCCCATTAGGTAAAAGAGAAAAAAAAGTGAAAAGAATCATTTCAATTTGAAGACTTTGTTTAAAGTACCAAAATGTCATATTATTCCACCAATGTGACTGGAGATTAGATTGAGATATATGCGAAAGTGAAAGCATTACCTTCACCTCCTGGTACAATTTTTTTTCCCAAGCGTACAGCTTCTCCACTGTGGAGCAGTGGCTGCCACTATTCCCAGCACATCCATTTCCCATATTTGGTGTTGTTATTTCACCATTTAATTTACCAAATGCATTTGGTGGTGTTGTGTTTGAGCCCCACATCCTCAACGTAGGGCTCAAGCTCCACCCATTATTGTAAACCTGCCCTGCTAGAGACATGATATGGAACTCATTAGGGTACCTTATGATTTGAGGGATGTGAATGAATGATAAGGAGGAAGGAATTGGAAGGGGAAACTGTTGTTTGATTGATTTTGTACTCCTTTGGTATTAGATTTACCTCCTTTTTTCTGAGAAGAAAAAGTGGGGACTTCCAAAAGCGAAGAGAGCTGAGCACCAGCATCGGCAGCTTTGAGAAAGTACTCATCAAGCTCCTTGATAATCTCCACCAGATCTTTGGTGTTCCTCGACACTACCATGGCAAGCTCAGTGCTCGATGTGTCCTTTGAAAAACCACTCACCACTGACGGTGGCGGCGCTGAGCTCGCTGCCCCAGTTACAGTGACCATAGCCTCCGATGCAGTGGTGGTAGCCTCCCATTCTTCCTCAGTCACAGTGCGAGATGACGATGGCACAAAAGGGTCCCAGAAATCCCATGTGGATGACGGCGGCGGCGGCGGCGGAGGAGGCAATGCCGGGGATGCCGTGATCGATGTCCAGGTGTCGGAACTTGGACTCATGGGGACAGGTAGAGGCGGCGGCGGCGTTCGTGGGGTTGGAGATGGAAGCACTGGCGGAAGGTGGTGGTGGTGGTGGTGTTGCTGCTGCTGCTGCTGCTGCTGAGGGCGGCGAATGTAGGTCTCTGCATTGGAAAACTGCCGGAGAGCGGCGCCGGTGCCACGAAGAGAACGAATATACAAGCTGTGAGTAGCAGAAAAAGCTTGCCTCGCCTTCACCAGCTGTTTCATGTACCTCTTTCTTGCTTTACACCTGGAAACAGTCTCTTCTCTCTCTAATCTCGAGTAACAGCAACCCATCTCAGCCACTTACTCAGCTTCTTCCCTCTTAAGCTCCTTTAGCCAAAATCTTAAGCAAATATCTAGCAGAAACCTTTCCAAGAACAGAACAAATCTCCGGCGGCTTTCTACTTCCGATCTTCCGCCGATCTCCACATTCCAATGAAGGTGGCTAAAACGGCAGATCTTCCATTGCTGGTGGTGGTGGTGGTGGTTCAGGCCACTTTCAAACTCGTGCCTACAAAAGCTACTCTCTTTCTTCCTTGTTTGTTACTCGCTGGCAAAGCCTGTGCCTTTTTTCTTCTCTCTCTCAAGACTCGGAATTGACTAATTTCAACCCTTGATGAGCTTTGGGCACTTCACAGATAAATAAATAAAAAAAAATACTAAAATAAATAGACTAAACTATATGGAAAATAGTTTAGGAAAAAGAAAAAGGTTGGGGAGTTGGAAGTGTATATACTTTGGTCAGGTTTAAAGATGCAGCCCAGAGAGACAATAGAGCGTTGGGCAGAGAGCCTGCTATTTTATAATCGTATTGAAAAGACCAAATCGCCCTACCTGTTCCTATCAAATTACTGTAACGCAACCCTTTTCAATCAAGGGTTGTTGCTATAATCTCTCACCTACAAAATAGCAGCTCCACGTGTCATTCCACTTTTGTCTTTTTTATCTATTACCGAATGCTCATTGAGCTGTGTGTAGCTCATGAGTGCATAGCCACGTCGATTTTGCCCAACAAGGGAAAAAAAAAAAGAGATTAGATTTTTAAATTTTCAACCAACTTAATAATTGACTTAATCTCACTTAACCTTAGTTAATTTGCCATGTATGGTTCGAAACTGACAATATTGAGGGTAAATTACATACTCTGGACTAAACTAATTTTTTAATAAATCGTTGAGATTAAAATATTATTTTGATTTTTGTATCTTTTGAGTATATTTTGTTTTCATGTTTGTACTTTTAAAGTTCCAAATGTAGTTTATATATAAATCATAGTTATTTTAGTTTATTGTAGATTTTTTTAGAAAATAAAGTTAGTCTTTTATTAATCTCATTTATAAATTATATAATATGTTCATTTGGTGTATTTTCATACATGATTATTATTATTATTATTTAACTAATACCTACACTTAAAATGGAAGGGTAAATTTCATATTAGTCCCAAAATTAAAAGCAAAAAAAATCTATGTAAATGAAAATAGGGGTTTCAATTTGTTTATATATCTTTTAATTTGTTCCCTGTGTGAACGAAAATTTTGAAACCTCATCGGAAAAAATTATGGGCAAAAATATTAACGTTAATGTGTATTTCTAAAATATACATATATATATATAATAACTAATTGTCAAAATAAGTATTTCACCTTTTTTTTTTAATAAATTTATATTATTGTTGTTAATATTATCTGTAGTATATAATTTTAATATATTTTGTAGAATTTTCTACCTCTATGTCGAATAAAATAAAACTATAAAAAAAAATGTCAATATGTGACAGAAATTTAAGAAACAAGGTTTGGGATGAAACTCTATTGGCTCCACGCCGGCGGCCGTCAGGTTCCGGTTCCGGTTGGTTAATCCTCTGGGCTCTGTTTCTGTAAGCGGAGATACGGATACGTACGGATGCCCAAACCATCCGAGCACGACGCGCTCTATCTCACGCTCCACGCGAAAACCTCTCCAGTTTCCATCTACATTACATCTCTACGCGAGTTCTTCCCACGCGCCATAATAGAGAGTTGCTTTGAATAAATAGCACACACAAAATCCATTTTTCCCCCTTTTAAATATTCATTTCTCTGCCTACACCGCAAAGCAAAGAACCCACTGCTTTCCTTGGCGCTCTTGCGAATGGAAAATCGCACCAAAAATTCTTCTTTTCACTGTTTGTTTTCCCTCAATTTAAACCCGAAATTTCAACTCCGACGAACAATGCCATCGACTCCTCCTCAATTTGTTGGCAAAGAAAGGGAAATATCTGCATCCTTATCGAGATTTCAATGGCGCCTCCCAAAGTCGATGCTGCATACCTCAAGGAAATCGAGAAGGCCCGTCGAGACCTTCGCGCTCTAATCGCCAAGGAGAATTGCGCTCCTATTATGCTTCGTCTAGCGTAAGTTCTCGTTCTAGCTAAGTGAAATGAATTGAATACTGCATCTTCTTGGAAAACCATTAGGCATTTTGTTTTTCAGCTATTGCTTAGTTGATTTGATGAGGTAATTGATGATTTGTTTCCTCCATAGCTTTAGGCCAAGCTTTGGCAGTGATTCAACTTGTAACGATTTAATCCTTGTTGCGGAAAATATTATTAAGATTGAACAAAATTTTGAGTCTAAACTGTTAGAAATGTTACATGCAGAAGTTTTAGGACTAAATTATTATAAATTTGAAAGTACGTGGATTAAATCGTCACAAATAAAGTTCTTAGATGGACTTGCAACTGGATTGCGACTGGTATGAATGTTCAAAGACCAAAATTATATTTTAACCCAACTTGAACGTTCAATATTTTATTTTAAACATAATTTTCATAGGATTTTTGTTGGGTAGGTGGCATGATGCAGGTACTTATGATGCTAAAACCAAAACTGGAGGTCCCAATGGTTCTATCAGATTCATGAATGAATTGAACCATACTGCAAACAAGGGACTCAAAATCGCAGTTGATTTCTGTGGTGAGCTTTTTTAATCTCTCCTTATTGTGAGTATCTATAGAGTTGACCTGATGCCTTTCTTCGCACGTTAGTTTCAGACCAAAATTAACTAGAACTTGATTGGATTGAAATTCTTAAACAATTAGAAAGTCAATCGAAATCAAAATTCGCAACTGATCTTTAACGTCCCAGGCCCACCGCTAGCAGATATTGTCTTTTTTGGGCTTTCCCTTTCAGGCTTCCTCTTAAGGCTTTAAAACGCTAGGGAAAGGTTTCTACACCCCCATTCTCCTCCCCAATCCATGTGGGATATCACAAGCCTGAGACATGTGAGTTATGGGCTCACCACGCTTTTGCTATGCCATGAAGCGAGGACGTTGGACTCTAAAAAGGGGTAGATTGTGATATCCTGTATGAGGATATCACAGGAGATTTGATTCATCCCCTGAAGCTGGCCCCCGGCAGGCGTGGGCCGTTACATGATTAGATAGGAATTTGATTCTATTTCCTTTGGCAGACATTCTTACTCATCGTTCCTTATGTTGTTAAACTCAACAGAAACTGTGAAGGCCAGACATCCAAAAATCACATATGCAGACCTTTATCAGGTGATTTTCCTTTCTTTCTCAAATTCAAGCTATTCTGCTGTCTTCGAACTTTAAGCCTATTTGGATTGACAATTCAATCAACGCAGACCCTTAAAGTTAAAGAACCTATTAAAAGTTCCATCAGCCAAGATTTGGCTCATTCTCTTCTAATTCTAAATTTTTAGCTTGCTGGGGTTGTTGCTGTGGAGGTCACTGGCGGGCCATCCATTGACTTTGTCCCTGGAAGAAAGGTATCAATATCCAGAGAAAATTTGATTGACGTTCACAATTGTCATTGCTGTTGAATAGCTTCATTCTTCTTTTAAATCCAATGGATTAGGACTCCAATGTAGTTCCAGAAGAAGGGCGCCTTCCAGATGCCAACCAAGGTGACTTTCAAAATATCTATAGCTATGTGGTATATGAGAGGAGCATAGTTTAAACTTTTTGCTTGTGATTTAAATTGATGTGGGCTGTCTGAATTCTTTTTTGTTCAAACTCATAGCAAAAGCCATGATTGTATGATCATTAGATGAAATTTCCCTGCAGGTGCTTCCCATTTAAGAGATATCTTTTACAGGATGGGACTAACTGACAAGGATATTGTGGCATTGTCTGGAGGCCACACATTGGTACTTTCTATTGTTCCTTTAAACTATGAAGGAATTGGATCTTCAGCTTTGTCCTGTTCTTTTTCTTTTCATTGATCATAGTTATGGTATCTAATTCTTCAGGGAAGAGCACACAAGGATAGATCAAATTTTGAAGGCCCATGGACTAAGGACCCTCTGAAGTTTGATAACTCCTACTTTGTGTGAGAATGATTTCCCAACTTCTTGCATTCAATTGCTCCTTGCTTTTAGATAAAAACAAGTTCTATTGCAAATGTGATTATGATCAGGGAATTGCTGAAAAAAGGCTCTGGGTCTGACCAACAACTACTGAAGCTTCCTACAGACAAGGCCTTGCTCGCGGATCCTCGGTTTTCCCAATATGTGAAGGCATATGCAGAGGTGAACTTTGGCTGGCTATGCTTTTATCATTTAGATCAAGTTTTGAGAGTGATTTGAGATGATCATAATCACTTTTTAAGCATGTTTTTAATCGTTCAAAATTAATTTTAACCGTACGAACCAAACATCAAATTTATTTGGAAGGATTACAATCATGTTTTGGAGTGATTTTAAATTCAAAATTACTTTCGAACACGAGGATTTGATGTTTTTCTTTCGAATAGGATGAAGAGAAGTTTTTCGAGGATTATGCAGCATCACACAAGAAACTGTCTGAGCTAGGCTTCGTTTCACCTCCCACAGTTCTCACGGACAGTGCTTCCTCATGGACAAATCGGATTGTGGTAGCCACAATCGTAGCAGCTGTGGCGATACTGAGCTACAAAAGACTCATCTCGCCTGAGGGGGTTGCCTTTCCAACTCTCTTCTGATCATACTAAAAAGATATATATCCCTTGAATGATACAAGTATGTGTATGTTCCCATTTGTAAATTTCTTTCATTTGAAAATGTGTGGAGACAAAAGAGAGCTTTCCACTTCTTATACAAGTTATGAACATTGGTAAGATGAAAAGCACCCTGAAGGGATTATTATATTGAAGCTCGTATAAGATGAAGATTACAACATGTTATGGAGTGATTTTAATTGTAACAAAGAAAAAAAAGTTTTAATTTGAAAATTACTCTCGAACACGTACACTTAAACTCGTCTTTATAAATAAGATGACAAGGATTAGTTTGGAAGGATTCTATGTTGTTCTTTTCAATATGATGAAGAAAAGTTTTTCGAGGATTATGCAACATCACAACACAAGAAATTGTCCGAGCTAGGCTTTGGTTCACCTTCCCCACATTTCTCGTGAATGGTGCCTCCTTATGTAATTGAATTCTGGTAGCCTAATATCATGGATACCTAGGCTTCATTATCCCCTCATCTTCCTATTTAAGTCACAGCTCACTTCGATGTTTCCAATTTTTCATAGAATCTTCGGGGCATTTCTAGCCACTCTCGTTTTATATTTTTATCATCTTTTTTGGTATAAGATTTGCTTTACTACACAAGGTTCATAATACATGATTGTGATTGACACAAGACAGCAAAAAATGAATACACTTAGTTCAGAAAACTGGAACAAGTTTTATTATCATCATCATCATCAACATATGCCCCACATATTAGAGGCATGTGTGAAATTAAATAAAGAACATATAAGCTAATGTAGACTGGTTGCCACCACAGTAAGCAGGCAGAGGAGAACAAGTTCATCTCCTCTGCCTCAACTCCTAAAAATTATGAATTCAATTAGAAAGGTAAGAACTTGTTAAGTTACAAGAGTTAGGCTCTGGGACTCAAGGAAAGTGTAATGTCTTCAAAAACCTTGAGCCTTTTCTCAATCTTACTTTGAATCATGCCGCCACCGTTGACGACGGCGCTGCCATTGGATGCTGCTTGCTTCTCTGGTTCATCTGTGGAGCCTAGAACTGCAGCAAGAATAGCCTCCTCAAAGTCATTGTCATCAGGCAATATTTCTGCCCATTTGTCTGTCTCCTCAGAGGTAGGAGATGACCTTCTTGTCTTAGTTTCAGGCCTCCCTGATTCCACTACAAATGGCCTTTTTGATTCCACCATGTCATTCATTCTCATTGAATTGGCTGCATTTCCGGATCTTGTTCTCTTCAGCCCTTCAGGAAATTGGTTCCCCAAGGGGGCCATTGAAATGGGTTCACTAAATAATTTTGATGAAAAAAATGGTTGAGCAGCAACATTCAATGAGTTCCCCCCTAAGGGAGCTTGAACTTTTGAGCTGAATTTCTGCTGTTGAGGAGGAGGAACCATCTGATTTGCCAAGAAATTGGTATCAACATTCTCATCACCAAAGTCATCTTGAATCACCATCCTAATAGGATTTGTGACAGGCAATGTTGGAAAGGTTGTATGATCCTTGCAAGGTTGAGGTTGCCAAATCGACGAAGAACCAAGAAAGGCGTCGAAAAGCCGCCTCTGTTCGAGCCTGTCGCCGCCCCCATTCATCATTTCAGACTCGAGATCTTGGAGCATCTGTTGTGCTCTTTCATAAGCTTTGAGGTGGGAATCTGTGCCTCTTGGCCCATCGGCAACTGCTGGCTTAACTCTGTGTAGAGTTGCTTTAGCCTCTGAAATTCTCCCTTGTTTCATCAAACAGATTCCAAGGTTACACATTTTGTTATTATCAGGTGCAATTGAAAGTGCTTTCCTATAAGCCTCTTCGGCTTCAACATAATTGTTTTGCTGCATCAACGCCCATCCTAAGTTCCCCTAAACATGAATTCAAACACTTCAAAATCTAAGTTGAAATTCTCAGAGAAATTGTTGATTACAAGAATTCCATCAAACACTTCAAAATCTAAGTTGAAATTCTCAGAGAAATTGTTGATGATTACAAAAATGGCATCAAACACTTCAAAATCTAAGTTGAATTTCTCAGGGAAATTGTTGATTACAAGATGCCATCGTCTTACCAGTAATCTAGTTGCTTCTTGCTCAACGGAGACTTGAAACTTCTTTCCTTGAGATCGGGCGGTTTTAGTCCGCTTACCATTGAACGCCAAACCTTGTTGGATCAAGAACAATTTATGTTTCAAAAGAGTTATCTGGTCGTCCAATCTTCCACATCTCTGTGGATTCAAATTTGAAATTACGGAAAAAAATTAAGAACGCATCCAAGTAAAGAAAGAATGAATCGGAAAAAAAAGGGGAAAAATCATAGAGACCTTGTATAGATCCAAAAGAATATTGTCCAGAGACTCTTGAGCCTGATCAGAGCACCGACTTCGCAACGATTTAATCGCTTCAATCGCTTCTTCGGCTCGATTCTGCTGCTTCATAACAATGGCCATGTCTTTCAAGGCACTATCAACTCTGTCCCCGGCATTAATGGCGGCCCAAAAAAGAGGAATCGCCTTATCCGGATCCTTGTTCACCAACTGAGCATAAGAAACAAGAAATCAGTACAATATACTAACAAATTCAATAAACAAACCTCGAAATTCGAAAACAGAACATAAACAAATTCAATTCGAAAACAGAACTGAAACAAATTCAAAAACCTAAAACTCTTGCCTGAACATTCTTTGCTCTAACATAGGGCGTATCGCCTACTGGAACCTTATGAATGACATGGTGTGCATCGGAACGGAGCCTCGAAACGCCGAGAGGCTTCGCCGGAGAAGAAGGGGCGGATTTGGAAGGCCTGAAGCCCGGAGGAGCGTTCCACATTTCCATCATTGTCAGATCGAGAGTGGAAGAGAGGAGGAAGTGAAAATGGAGGATAGGGGAGACAAAGGGACGAGGGACAGGACTTTCAAAGTGAGAGATGTAGCCAAAATGGAAGGGTTAATATGAGGGGATTTCCGAATTTATGACCGTTGGAGTTACCGTTCCTACAAGTAGCCGTTGCAGATTACACGTTCCAATCTGTTATCTCTATAATTATAATTATCGGTATANGAAAGAAGATAGCCAAATAGGGGTAAGAATAAGATATGAGTATGAACAAATAGGCAAAAGAGGGCCAAAAAGGGTTTGTTTCATAGTTGAGAAAGAGGTTGATATGTCTTGACAAAAGGATTGATAAGTCAGTCTCAATGGAGGAAGAGAAATTCAAAATGGGCACAGTGGAATGTTACCTTATTGCTATCTCTGCATATGAAACAACGTGAAATCCAAAGTCCTTTCCTTTGTTCCCATAGAAAAACAGAATTTTTTTTAGAAAAAGAAAAGAAAAAAAAAAAAAAAAAAAAAAAAGCTAAAATAATAAATATAATTTTTATTCAAAAAAAATATATAGTTATATTTCAAATCTATGAAAGAATAATATTAAATATTTTTTTCTAAAAAAAATATTCTAATTTTAAGACTAAGATAATACTAAAATTAAAAAAAAATTCAAATCATGTTATTTGTCGTTAATATAGAAATAAAATAAAAATTAACCATTATTTTGATTTGAATATTTTTTAAGCTTCATTTATTTAAAACAATATCCAAACACATTACTGACTGAAATTTAAATTATAATTTTTAACTTATTTTAAAACACCAACATAAAAAAATAGGGGTATACATGATTCGGGTTGTACATAGTCCGGGTTGGGTTCGAGTCGTCAATTTTTTCTTAAGTTTTATTTATCCAGAATTTATAATTATTCGGATACCATCTTAGATAAAAATATATTAAACATGAAATTAAATAAACAATAAAAATGATTAGTTAATGGTATATAACCAAAAAATAAAAAATCACATTATTATATGTATAACATAATTAGTGAAATTTAAATTATAATTTTTAACTTATTTAAAAACACCAGGGTGTACATGGTCGGTTGTCAATTTTTTTTAGTTTTATTTATTCAGAATTTATAATTATTTCGATAAAATTTTAGATAAAATATATTAAACATAAAATTAAATAAACAATAAAAATGATTAGTTGAAAGCGGATGCATATAACAAAAATAAAAAATAAAAAAATAAAAAAATAATATAAACATGTTTATGATTAATTCATATTGTATATAACAAAAATAAAAAAACACATTATTATACGTATAACTAATGCGTAATTAGTGAAATTTAAATTATAATTTTTAACTGTTTAAAAACACCAACATAAATAGTGGTGTACATGGTCCTGATTGGGTTGTCAATTTTTTTTAGTTTTATTTATTCAGAATTTATAATTATTCCGATACAATCTTAAATAAAATATATTAAACATAAAATTAAATAAACAATAAAAATGATTAGTTAAAAGGTGATGTATATAACAAAAATAAAAAATAAAAAAATAATATAAACATGTTTATTTATAAGTAATCCGTAGTTAGAAAAATAAAAATATATATAAGTTGTGAGATAATAAAATTAAAAATAATAAAATAACATAATAATAAAAACAAAACAAATAAATTAAATATAATAAAAGAACAAAATAACAAAATAATAAAATAAAATAATAAAAACAAAATATAGAAATTAAAAATAATAAAAACAAAACAAAGAAATAAAAAAATAATATAAAAAAACATAGAAATTAAAAATAATAAAAACAAAATAAAGAAATTAAAATAATAAAATAACACACTAATATAAACAAAATATAGAAATTATTAAACAAAACAGAGAAATAACCAAATAATATAAACAAAACATAAAAATTAAAAATAATAAAAACAAAAAAATTAAAAATAATAAAAACAAAATGTATTCACTCCCGTCAAATTCGTATCTGAACACGTCAAACTCATTAATTCATAAGGGTTTTTAATATATTTTATATTTTTTCATTTGACTCATATATTTTATATTTTGTCATTTGACTCGTGTCAATCTAAAAGTTTTGCATCCGAAAGTTTTACATTAGTTCCCTATATTTTTCATTTGACTCGGGGTTCCCATCCAAAAGTTTTGCATTAGTTCCCGAACCCAACCCTACTCGAAATGCTAATCTAACCCAACCCAAATTAACCCAACGGGACCCAACTCTACTCGGAATGCTAATCCAACCCAACCCAAATTAACCCAACCCTTATAATTCGGGACCCAAATTAACCC